AGTAGGTAGCCTATATGAACTCAGCAATTTGCTCTGTAGCTTACGAACAAAGATTTGTACAGTCTCCCTGCCTATTAGTAGAGTTGAAGTGGCCGACTTCTCCGCCCGGCCGACATCTCCGACAGGTCGACTTGGTGACTGGCCGACTTCTCCTGCAGGCCGACTTGGCGATTGGCCGACTTCTCTCGTATTCCTCAGACATGTCTCGGATACGGATCCAGAACTGAATTCTTTAAAACAAAATGGCCGCCAGTCGGCTATTTCGAACTTGATCCGAAAAAAAAAATGACGTGCATCAAGGTCCTATTATGTTTAATGTATGTACCAAATTTGAATGAAATCCGTCCATGCATAACTGAGATCCGGGTCCGGAATGGTGAAAATGTGCGATTTCAATGCATTTTCGGCCTTAAAGCGGCCGCCATTTGGCTATCGTTAATCAGATCATGAAAAAAATGCATGTGCATATGTCCCATATAATGTGTGATGTATGAGTGAAGTTTGAACTTAATCGGTCCATGCATGTTCGAGATACAGGTGATCACGGACGCACGGACGAACGGACAGACGGACGGACGGACGCACACAGGGCAAAACATAAGTCCCCGTTTTCGGACTGCGTCTGAACGGGGACTAATTAGGCACTACCAACATGGTGATACTCGGTAGTTCAGAATTGCAGCAGAAGATGCCATTTCAATTTCTGATTGAAACAACCCCTCTCCCCAAAACACAAAGAAAGTATGGAAAGTGGTAAGAAACTCACAGAAAATACAAAATTACTTTTTACCTTTTTTTTTCGTGCATTATATCTATTTTAATAGGTGACGCAGGGGCAAAATGAGATAGATGCTTGATTGGTCTGACTGGCCCTGGTCATTTATTTCCCCAGTCTATATCAACACAGTGCTCTTTCTCATTGCACAAATGCCCAAATATGGTGCCATACTGAATATCATTTACCGTTTTTCACTGCTTAGTGCTAGAAATATTTACAATTTGAACATATATACAAGGCAGAGTGTGATAGGTGAAAAAAAGCCTTCAACATACAAGCTGCTTTCTGATTGGTTTGTTTTTCAGGTTTTAGAGTTGGGTAACCAATCAGGTACAATCTTATAGGTAGCTTTGTATTGACTCATGTGAGCAGTATACACAGTTAGAACTCACTTCTGACAAACTTGTAGTGGATGGAACACGTCTCTTCAACAGAAGTAAATAATCTAGGGATGAAAAAATACTCATATATGTAACAAACATTTTTTTAAAAGAGTGCTGGACATTAATATTCATGATGATTCATTAGATATTCAAAATATGCGATCAGGATCACAATGTGTAGGATATAGCCAGAAAATGAAAAGTGCCCGTCTAAAAACAATGTAGGAATAAAAGACAATAATAGTAGTCAGTAGCTAAAGACTTATAGTCTATTTTTTTTAATTTTCAAGTAAAAGTGGAAAGGTTTGTTGAAATTTAGCCTGTCAATTGAAATTTCACACCTGTCTAAAATACAGTCTTTGTCCAAAATTCGACAAAACAAAAACAAACAAAAAACTGCCGAGTACACTACACAGTCGAATTATGCAGGGCTTGCAGCCATATTCTTCTTTTTCTTGTTATTTTTTTGGTTATCTTATTTGAGAAGACTGCTGAATGGAATATTGTCAAACTTAATACTGTGGAATACTTTATTTTTGCTTGGAATTTATTTTCGCTATTTTCGCTGGAGGGATGATTCTGTGAAAATAAAAGCCAGTGAATATACTTTTTTTCCTATATTTCACATTACACTCATCAAAAATCAGTGAAAATAAATTCCATACAAAATGCCCAAAAAGCCTTTTCAGCGAAAATTAATTCCAGCGAAAATAAAGTATTCCACAGTAGTGTGCTGATAGAGACTGATGTGAACTGGTACACCTAACATTTAAAATTATGAATGACATGTGGATTTCTCATACTTCCGAGAGTCAAGGTAATCTGATATTTTGGTCGCAGCATCACTAATGCATGAGTTGCCAAGATCACTAATTAAAAACTAATTTCGTTCTCTTACTCATTCTTTTCTTATTCCTTGCATGAATCATGCACTTAATCAGAGTATAGCAACAATTAAAATCTAAACTTAGCTAATCTGAGGTTAATGAGGTTTTCATGGTTGAAACTGAGATAAAATTAGGCGAGGGTTCTCCGAACCCACCTATTCACATAGTTCATAGTATTCTACAGAACCTCAATTCACTACGTTCAATTACCCACCATAAACTCCGGTCAGTCAAAATGACTATTTTGAACTGTAGGCATTAATCAGCGATTCTGCCGGTGACGGAGAGATAGAATCCAGGTCAGTGGAAGCCCCATGACCTCAAGATTCTTTTACCCCTTACGTCACGAACCCACGTGACCGAGGCCATGTGGCAACGCCACAGGTAGCCGTCCCTCACTCTGGTTCCTTTCTCTCCGCCTCGAGGACTTAGACCAACGTGACGGAAAGAGTGGGGGAGGTTGGGGGG